GGCCAAGCAGCTGACAGCACACAGGGAGAGGATGAAGATGGGGACTGGGGACTAGGGACCCTCCGCGACAGCTTTGAGGCCGTCGGCGGATACTTTGACTCCATGCTGGAGTTCATGGGCGGACGTGACGGAGTGTGCCAATACCGCTGCAGATATGGTAGGTCTGCTAGGTGAACATGTGGTATAACATAGTCTGGTATAAGGCCATGTGTGTTTGTATTATTGTAGGGCCTTTATAATTAAAAGCATACATAAATAAAATTATTGATAAACAGCAAAGCTAGATACCTGCACTGGAAATGGTCAGAGTTTCAAATTACGAGGTCAGTAAAGATAAAACGCTTCAGGCTGCTCTAAACATTCAGTTTCAGGCAGCTTTTTTTCTACTGCTGGCTCTGTATGATGTCATCCCTCATCTGCGGTCTGTGACGAGCAGCAAATTAAATCCCCGATCCTGAAAAAGTTTGAAAAGCTGTGTAAAGTGTACATAACAAGAGAATGGAAGGATTTGTAAATCTCATAAACTCCTATTATATTCAGAATAGAACATTTGACGCTGAACGTTACACATTTTTAAACTGACAAAATGCAACATTTTGAGAAAAATGTTACGTTCATGTTAATTTGGTGGCAGGAACAAATCATAGAAAGGTTAGCAGTTCAGCACCTGAAGCCATGCTGCTGGAACAGCTTGTGGTTTAGTGTTGTTTTGCTGAAATATGCTTGGCCTTCCCTGAAAAAGGCATCATCCTGATGGGGGAAGCATGTGTTTCTCTATAACCTGTCGATACCTTTCAGTATTCATGGTGCATTTCCAGATGTGCAAGCTGCCAGATCCAAAGCCACTGATGCACCTGAGCGTCAGAGATGCAGGCTTTAGGACTGAGCACTGATGGCTGAACAAACCAGACAGTCCTGTCCTCTATAGTGTGGAGGACACGGCATCCATGTTTTCTAAAAATAATGTCACATTTTGATGAATCTGACCACAGAAGAGTTTTTATCTTGGCCTCAGTCCATTTCAAACGTGCTCTGTCCCAAAGAAGACAGCAGATGATGTTCAGCTTTGCCCCTTCCCTCCTTATTCTCTGAATGTTTTAATGATAATCTGAGTCGTCAAGATTTTATGTTGTGTACATTACTCTGAGATTGTTTCAGACTGGCGCCCCACGTTCTTACATGTTGGAGAGTCTCTGTCTCGAGCAAGTAGACAACGGTCTTAAACGAACTCTGCCTCCTTTTTTGAAGCATTTAATATTTAAAGCTTGAACAAAGCCGCTCTTCACCTTTGAACAGCCAGCTCTTTTAATTGTAAGAATGCCCTAAAACTGAACCCTTTATGAATACGATCATGATTCCAGTAATCATCTTATGATATTTCTAATAAACACAAATCAGCTGATTACAAATGTGCCCAGTTAGTAAGTATGTACGCACAGCTTTTGCAGATCCTCCTCTCTCACTCTGTCAGTTATCTCACCTGATAACTTCTTGATCACCTCCTTCTCTCGGCGCTAATAGGATTTATTCAGAAAGGTCTTGTACACGCTGATATTTGTCGCGGTTGTTATCTGAGCCTGGAAATGGACTGTGAACTCTGATAGGAGAGGTTTTATGTGCTGACTGGGTCAAACATCAAGTGATGTGCAACATGTCATCTATGTGCAAACATGGATCTATTTTAAATCCACGGGGGTATCAAACAGAGCCCAGCACAGTCCTGCTGGCCTGTTGCAAAACATGACCTACATTTTAATTAATTTTAATTGATTTATTTATTAATTGCTATTTCTCCCTCAGGTAAAGCTCCTGTTCCTCGTTCGGGCTACCAGATGCCAGAACCAAATGGATGTAGCTCCTACTTCTTCGGTCTTCCTATTCCAGAAGGGGTAGGTCTCTTCTGTCTGTTTAGAGCAAATTTATTTGGAAATCATCAATACTGTTATGAAAAGCTGGATCCATCTTCACAAGGCGCTTATAGAGTTTGGGTGGAGGACAATCGAGGCCCCATAGAGAGTAATGAGCATTTGCTTCTAATCAGAAAAAGTGTAAGCCAGTTTCAAGAGCTGCTGGAGCTTCGTCTTCTTTAGACTTCATGTGTCTCTCTGTGAATCTTGAACATTAGAAGCCTCTGCTCTGTTTCTACACATTTTATTGTTTTCAGTAACCAGGACATGATTTTAGAAACATTGTTAGTGTGTTGCTCGTACATATCTTAGGATTGAGCTCCGCGCGGTGGGGCAGGCACCAAAACAGATGAACAAACAGCAAGAGAGCAAACCTTAAATTAAAAAGAGCACACGTTTAGGTTTCAAACTCCAGGAGCAGGTTTCTGGGTATTATTGGTAATAAAACAAAAATATGTGACTTTCCATAACTGAGCTGTGTACAGTTAATATTTTGTCTTATCCCTGTTCTTTTACAACGCTGTGTTCATTTGTGCAGCTCGGAGGAAATCTCGTTTTGATGAAAAATTGCTTCCAGCTTGTTATGTTACTTCAGCACAGCTGGAAACAGGAGACTTGTGATTTTTACACTTTATTGATTCTGGGAGCTAAATGTCTGCTCAGCTCTACTCAAGAAAACAACTCCTACTGTGCATCTGACAAGCAACACATGACACTCAGTTCAGCATTATTTATTTATTGGTGTCTGCTAAAGTCTACATCTTTACTGTGTCTTCTAAGTAAAGAAGTGAAGTGATGAAGTGACAGCAGTAAAGACAGGAGGAAGGCTCTGTCTGCAAAGTATTATATGCACTACATACATGCCAACACCGACTGTATATTACAGCTATTAATTAGTGGAGTTTCCATGAAGGAACAGCAAAGCAGGAGGCTGTGGGAGATGCTTTTAAAATCCAGGAGAACTTGGGAAAAACAGGAGTGTATGCAAGTAGACTGGAGGAAAAAGAGGGTGAACTCCACCTTTAATAAAGGCACTCAATCTAAAAGCATCTGAGGTGTTTACTAAAGAAATATTACTTTGTTTATGTAATAAAAAAGTACACAAAAAGTCCACACAGAGAGGCGACAGCAGAGCTGTAAAAATTCGTCCGATGAAAACCAAATAAAACCTGATCTCAGAACAAACAACAAACCTATTTCTGATGGAGCTAATAATGCTAATAATGCACTTGTACACAAACACATTGATCTTTCCTGCTGTGTGTCAGATGGACATGGGCATCCCTGCCATGACTAAGTGCTGCAATCAGCTGGATATGTGTTACGACACCTGCGGCTCCAACAAGTATCGCTGCGACTCCAAGTTCCGCTGGTGCCTCCACAGCATCTGCTCGGACCTCAAGAAGAGCCTCGGCTTCGTGTCCAAAGTGGAAAGTCAGTAATATTTTAACCTTCCTTTCATGCACCGTCATGTTCTTCTTCGTGATATTTTAATCACTGATCTCTGACTGTAATCCGAGTACATCAGCTTCCGTTGATCCTGTGCTGTCCTGTTTCTTATTTCTCAGCATGTGAGACTGTAGCAGACACCTTCTTCAACACAGTGTGGACTTTAGGCTGCAGACCGTACATGAACAGCCAGAGGGCAGCATGCTACTGCCCGGGAGAGGAGAAGGACGAACTTTAGATGAACAACTGGATCTTCTGTGTTTATAAAACAGTGTCAGCAGCGACCGCATTCCCAGGTGATTTTGCTCTGAGTTGTGGTGTTGCAAAGGTGGAGTAATTTATTAGGAAGTTCTTGCTTTTATCTTTTTTGAATTCCTCATGAAAACTGTATTTGTGTACATGTAGAGTTGGTTTAAAACAGTCTTTAACGATACATGACGGAGTTTCAGAGACAGTAACTGGTTCACAGCACACAGCTGCCATTGAGTGTGTGCTGCCTTCTTTTATTTGATGGCGCATTACTGACAAAGTCAGCCCTTAGTTAAAACCATAAAAATACAGGAGAAATTTTGTCTGTATGTATGTGAAGTTTCTTCCTGTTAAAAGGGAGTTTTCCCTTCCCACTGTCACCAAGTGCTTGCTCACAGGCTTTAATGCGATTGTTGGAGTTTCTTTCTAACATTGTCGGGTCTTTACCTACAATATAAAGCGCCTTGAGGCGACTGTTGTGGAGAATTGGTACTGTAGAAATAGAACTGACGTGAACTGAATTTCTTTTGCATTAAAAACAGTTTCAAAGATAAACAAACACTAAACCTTTTGTCGTTCCATCATTTGCTTTGCACACTGAAGGACTGGACAGATGTTTTCACACATCTATTAGTGCTAGGTGTAACTTGCCACTGTAATCACATTACATTTTTTGGTCAGGCAGTAATATGATTCTGCATGAGCAGTGATAAATTACAGCAATGCAATCACATTACAGACACTAGTAATCAAGCAATTACGTTATCACTCACAGTGCGGAGGGTCTTTAATTACCTATAATGGACGTCAAGTGTGTCAAGTTTGTCCTTTTAACACAAAGAGCACATTTATCTCAGTTTTCATCTTATCTGTTTAATTTGCTGATAAAGTCTTGTGTGCTGAAACACTTCAGGTCAAACACGACAATGCTGTGATTATAACGGTATTCTAAATTTTATTTAAAATGTGGGTGACTTGGAATTTTGTGATGTTTTCTTCATCTCAGGCCACTTGTTAACCAGTTCCCAAGTAACTCAAGTTTCAAACCTTCCCCGAACATGAACACGACTCAGGTTACTTCCTTTATGAAAGACATGTTCAACATAATGTGAAAAACAGACCAGAAGGTGGCGCTACATAAAAAGCCTGAGGATCCTTCCACCATCAGCTGTAATTTATGTTATTTAGGAACTCAGCCACAAGCTGTCAGACCATGTGAAGCTACAGAGAGGAGTCAGAGGCTGTGTCCCAATTCAGGGTCTGCACGCTTGAAGTACGCGCACTACGCGTACTACGTACGGTGCGTACTATAAGTACGAGAAGTGCGGAAGTGAGAGGCTTGTGAAATGGGACGCTTCGTCGCGCTGTTCAGGTTGCCTAGCAACCATGATACTAACCGCGAGACACGTTACATACAGCTTTGTTTGACAGAAATGAAGGAGAAAAATGTTTTGTTTGCGGCAAAATTATCCACACCCACCGCCGCGCTGTGAATTGTGGGATATATGGGACCACGAAGCGTGGACCGGACCACGCTTGATATTTGGGGAAATCGACGGCGCATTTGGAGTATGCATTTGAAGCACACTTCGAATTGGGACAGCCGTCGTCGCGTGGCGGTGACGTAACCGCACTTGAAATGCGTACTTCAAGCGTGCAGACCCTGAATTGGGACACAGCCAGAGTCACCAACACCTTGCCAACTAACCGCAGAGGTCCAACCCTCCTCTGTATGTCTCAGTGTGTTTGTGCAGCTGCTGTAGGTCTGTGGACTCAGTGGACGTTTTTATTTGTTCTTTTAAGAAACAAATAAAAACGTTTTTGTTTTTTTAGACTTGCATTTAGCTAACACTTTTCTTTATGCTTTCTTGTGAAGCTGGCAAGTGATTCTTGTCTTGAAGGGTGCTATATAAATGAAATGTTCTTACTATGTGGCCCAGTGGTTTTGTCCATATTGTGTAAATGTACAGTTAGTTATGGGTCATCAACATGCACGCCTGTTTTTGTAAGATTTCTTTATTAGTGTGACAGAGTGAATGTAAAACTGGAAACTGTACAGGCTGAAACATTTTTAACGATGAAAATATACATTTCTCATTAACAAACTACAGTACGGCCTACAAAAAATAGTTCTTGTAATCAACATTAAACAAAACTGGTGACATTCACAGAAGCACAGAGCTAAAACATGAAAGCAGACCAATAATGAACTGTGCAAAAATCTATTTCAGATGACAGAAAGGTGTTGGAGGTCAGGGACAAATGTAGAGGAAGAATTAAACGTTACATGTGAACAAGGCTGAAAAAATAAAAATCTTCACCGGACACAGACGCCTGGAAAAAGGGGGAAAAATAGTTAGCAGACAGGATCAAACACATTTACATCAGCAAGCAGTTAAAGAAAAATGTAAATTCAACAAGAATTTTTCAGGACTTAAAGACATGCAGCTCTTTTTCACTGAAGCTGTGCTAATGCTGAAACCACTGCTGATAGTGGCTCTGCTGCATGAAATCAGCACTTGCTGCCAACAGATTTCATTAAAAAAAAATTGAACCCCAGTTCTGCAAAGAACTGCACGTAACCATCAGCACGTAAACCTTTGGAAAAGTGAGCTGGTTCTCTCCAAAGGAAGAACTGGAGCCGCACTGGGACATGCAACGCTACTGAGAGCAATAACCTGCAAAAATATGCCGGCTGTAACAAAAGTTGATTTTTTTTACAGACAGAAGGTTCAACAAACATTCCAATTTCAACAAATTTACATTTCTGAAATGATTTCATGGTTCAGGCTTTAATATTACAGTCACGCTGCACGAGCTGTGCGTGATTGTTCAGCCAGTGCTCAAAAACAAAGATGGAGAACTGTAACCTGCAGAACCAGAATAACCTTTTAACTATGAATCATAGGAAACGTGCCAGGCTGAAGTGGAATTATCCTTTAATTTTCCTTTGAATATACTTACTTCGTTCAGTCTATCTCAGAGATCAGGGAGTTTGCCGGCTGCATGACTTTGGACTGAGGCATCTGGCTCGTGTTCTTTACCTTCTGGTTAAAAGCTTCAAGCTAGAAAAATAACCAAAGAGAAAAACGATTTATGATGACACGATGATGACGGCTGTCACAACAGGAAACTCGGAGCATAAAGCAGGGAAACAATTCCAGATTATAGCAGCGATAATGTAAAACATAACGACAGACTGAGATCAGGATTATGAAACTGAGATTCAGATGAAGTAATGATACTCAGAAAAGTATATCTAATGACATGATTGACAACTGTTACAGATGCAGGGCATCAGTCATGTCTTCAAATGTTTAAAATTCTAAAAATGGAAATGATTTTAGTGACGTGTGACAGCGTCTGCTTATGCTTAAAATACATATTGACACATCTTAAGTGTCTCAGACTGAGTACTGGGAATTCTGCTGAAGTTGATCCTCAGACCAAAAACACACATCAAAGAAATACTTTGAGCTTCCTACAGTTTTAGTTTTAGTAAAGAAAAAAATAAAGTAATAATCCATCCCCAGAATTAGATCTTTTTTCATTTTTTGCATAACAAAATTTAATAAAGTTGGGCTAAATTTTACCATCGTACTACTAAACGTTTCTGATTTAGAAGAATCTTAAAGTATATATGGAGCATTTTATTATGTAAAATACATTCATAAGTACAGGAGATAAAACACATGAAATTTTTAGGGCTGATAAAGCAGACAAAGCATCCATGGTACCAATACTCTGTTCCTCTATGCCACAGATATCACATCAGTGAGAATCTGACACATCCAAGATACTGATGCTCACACTGGGATTAAGAATTTCATGCTGATATCTCCTGCACTTAAGAAGTTATGAGGGTCAAAAATATATTTTAAAAAAAGAAAACAAATTTGAACCCCTTCTAACTGAAAATGTTCACTGGATGAAGGTAACAGCATGCATGGCTTCATTAAATATACTGAAGTAATTGTGCTCAGTGTCCTCTGAGTCACTACATTTCATTATCAACAACAACAAGCAAGGCAAATAATGGCACAACCTAACCTCTTAGCATGGCATGGCCTCAAGAGCTGGCCAAACCGACTGAACACCAACCTTTTTCCTCAGGTTCGCCTTTATTTCCTCCTCTGTTAGCTGTGGCTTCTCCTCTTTTAACTCCTCAGTGCAGGGGTCATTACCCACAGTCTTGGTGCATACCTTTGAGTCCTGTGGTGCCAGTGGTGTCTTCAATGCATTATTGTGTTTCTCTAAAATACTTTTGGGATTCCTGAAATCTCCCATAAGTTTTTTGCGACCCCGTCTCCAGTTGTGTCCACCTGTGAGGCTCTGAGAGGATGCCTGCTCGGTATTGATGACTCTCAGGCAGCGAGAAACAGAGGCTGACCCATCTTGGCCTTCGCTCACAGACAGGTCCGGGTTTGGAAATGAGGCACTGTTTGTAAGAAGGCTGGGATCAGGGAAAGCCATGTTAGGTGCCACTACAGAGCCAGGAAAGTGCGGGTAAGGTTGGCTGCTGGCAGAAAGAGAGGGAGGAGTGTTGTACTGATTGTATGACCAGTAAGGATTTGTAGCACCGCTGTAGTGGCCACTCTGGCTAAGAGCAAAATGCGAGTACTGAGACAAAATGTAGTCTGGATATGGAGAAGCAGCAGGATGAGGAAACACGGGATTTTGTGAATATGGATAAGCAGAAAAATGTTTTGAGTCTTTTCGCTCTCTGTCCCTCAGTGTTTCTCTGCTGTTCCATCGATCTCTGTGTTTCAGTCTCTCTCTGCTTCTTTCTCGCGAGCGGCTTCGTTCGGCCTTCCGCCTCCGTTTCAAATCTCTGCTGCGAGAGCGTCGACGGCATGAGGGGCTCGGGCTAGAGCTTCTAGAGGTTGACCTGGAGGAAGATGAGGACGAGGAATTTCTGTGATCTCTAAGAGAGCGCCTCTGCTGTGTCTCGTCCTCCCCTCTGCTCTCAGTCCTCCTCCTCCCTTCACTCTTCCTCACCCTCCCTTCGCTCTTGCTCCCATGCATTCTCTCCTGACTCTGGTCTGTTTTGCTGCTCCGCAGAGGAGAGCCTGATGAGGACTTCCTGCGATCTCGGTCACGAGAGTGCTTCTGGCGGCTCTCGTGCTCCTCTTTGCTGTTCACACGTTCGTTTTTTCTCCCGCACAGCCTCTCCTGAGTGCGGTTTGCCAGTTTGCTCAGCTCGTCCACGTCCAGGTTCCATCCCAGAGTTTTAAGAATGCTCTGCAGCTGTTCATGCTGCTCACTCACCGATGAGGTTTCTTCCTCCTCCTTCTTCTTCAGTGCCACCGGAGACTTTAATCGATTACTAGAGCCCAAACTGTGGTCTCTTTTGCTCTTCTTCTTCTTCTCCTCCTCCTCACCAGGTAAGAAGAGCCTCTCTCGAGTAGATGAGTCAGTCTTTTTCTCTCTACTGTTGGTCTTGTTGAGGCCTGCCAGCAGGTTTCTACCATTTGACTCGCTGTCACTGTCATCACCGAGCCCGGGAATTAGGGCACCACTCTTTAAATGCTGGCTCTTACTGTCCTGGTTGAGACCCTTCAGCAAGGGTCC